TTTAACATATAATGTATTACTTGTTTCAGAGGTACAGATCTGTGATTCAACAGTCTTGCACAATTCACAGCGCTCACCATAGCACATACCCTCCCCAATGTCTATCACCCAGCCACCCCATCCCTCCCACCCCCACCACTCCAGCAACCCTCAGTTTGTTTCCTGAGATTAAAGAATTCCTCACATCATTGAGGTCATATGATACATGTCTTTCTCTGATTGACTTACTTCGCTCAGCATGATACCCTCCAGTTCCATCCACGTCGTTGCAAATGGCAAGATCTCATTCCTTTTGATGGCTACCCTGAACTCACCTGATCTCGTCTGGCAGCGTCCCTCTTATTCAAGGTTCCCTTATTCAAGGCCGACCAAATCAGGCAAACTGAAAGGGAGGCCAGGAAGTGGGCAACGAGGGTGGGGCCAAAGGGATGCTGATCCCTGAGCTCGCTGATAACCCAACTCCCCTGAGAGGGGTGCTGGTGGGGCACCAGCGCACGGCAGTCAGCCTGGAAACTGCAGAGCAACATGGGAAAACGCCTGATGGGGGCTGCATGAAGCCTAGGTTCTCGTGGGGGCCTGACCTTCACGACCTCCACCTCCCTGGGGGCTGCTGGACTCAGGCGCACATCTATGGGGCACCTGGGAGAGTGAAGGAGACAGCGGATCGTGTTGTAAAGTCAGTACTACTCTGCTCCCTGGGAAGGTGCAATGTGGGGGTCCTCTGTGGGCAAGCACAAGAAGAGAGGTATAAAGCCTCTGTGCCCACTGTGGGGGCTGCAGCTGCATCTGCCTGCATATCCTTCACCTTGGTGCTGCAGGCCCAAGACCTGGGGTGAGAGAGAGGGGAGGAGCTCCTGCACGACCCTCCCTGGCCAGTTCTGGCTGAGAGGCAGTGGCAGCTGGTTAGGGAGCTGGCCAATTTCCGGCCACAGAGGCTCCCAACCTCGGTCAGCTGTCCGAGCAGCCCATGTGGGTCCGTCCACATTTCCCCACTGCTGCAGGGTCCCTTCCTATTAGGAACCGGGCCTTCTTTCTTCTCAACCCGACTGGATCTGGCACATTCCCCAAGGTCACTCTGCACTGCGTTCTTGCTTCTTGCTGACAAGAAGAAGGGTTTGGTCTCTCTGACCCCAAGCCATTGACTGGGTCCTCACCATGTCACGTGCTTGGACACATCCAGGATCTGAGGGCTGCTCCTCTCCCAAGAGGGGGCAGAGTATGCCGAGGGCGGGCAAGCTACGTAAACCCGACCTTGAGGCTGTGATTGTCACTCACTAACCTAGCATTTTCTGCTCCTTCTACAAGGGACCAAGACATTTCCTGGACCCTCCTCAAAACCTTCTCTCCTGTATAGTCTTACCCTGGGGCTCCCTGGAAGCCTAGCACAATTGTGGCTCACTCCTCTGTTGTTGGAGCTGGGATCTCTCGTCTCTCATTACTTAGATGACTGTCAGTCCCTATCCTGTGTGGTGTGAGCACAGCCCTTGTCCAGCCAGCCCCTAGGGAGGCGGTGGGGACCCGCAGCAGGCTCTCAGTGCCTTCTCCCTCCACGGAATCTGGATCCTGCCATACTCTGACAAGGGCTAGCAGGCTGACCTAAGTGGATATGAAGTGGACTTACATTTAACAAATTTCCGCTCAGTACAACTCTGCAAATGAGGTCTCCCCCGCCCCCACTGAGAACAAGGATGACATTTCTAAAATGGGACTGAAAACCCTATTACTAATTTTACCCTTTCTTGGTTCCATTTTACAATATCTGAACATTAAAAATACCCACAATGATTTATGCCTCATTAAATTTACCTTCTGAAGAGATTACATAAGATCTAAATATGATCTTGCATAATTACATTTAAAATACCAGTGGCATTAACTGAATTATTCTAATTTTAAAGCAAAACAATGAGAAGAAGTGCCAAACTCTACCAAACCTTAGATGCCACCTGGTCTACTGAGAGGAAAACTGAGGCCCGAGGAAGGTGAGTGAGGAACAAAAATAGGATTCAAAGCCAGGCCATCTATCACCCCATTCAGAGTTTTACCCTCTGTCCCATTCTGTGTATTCACATGCCTCCTACCTTACAGATGCTTGGCATTCCATTTAAAGTTAACACAGTTCTGAATTCTGTTTTTAATATGTTTTCTGTAATGGACTGCCTTGTTATTGGGGTTTATGCTTTAGCTTTGGGTCATATGGTGTGTGAGCTTCTCATTACCCTGCCTGTGTCCATGGCAGACATTGCTAATCAATCATGATACTCATCTCCACCTTGAGTGCAGAGGTAACCCCAGACTCTCAAACAGATTGGCCCACGAGGCTAAACCAATTCACCACCTCACAGAACGGCCCTGGAGAAGGCCTTGCAACTCACCATGGGCATCTTTTGCTCCAGGCTGCCGGGGTCTTGTGTTTCCATTTTTATCACCTTGTAAGCCTGCAATATCCCAAAGGTCAGAAGTAGAGATGCTTCAGAAGAAATCAAAATGCAAGCACAGACGATTGTCTATGTGGTAGTCCTGGCTTCTGACTCTTCCTCTTCACTGTCTTTCCCCAGCCTTCTTGCTCCCATACCACCCACCATCTACTACTGCTGGAATTGCTCTGGACTTCCTCTTGAGGTGGAGGAAGGACTGGGAACCAGGGAGGGAATGACAAGAGAGAGAATTGGAGTCTGTGACCAAAGGTGGAATTTACTCCGACATCAACACTTTGTGTTCCTCAGCGGGTCTACCTGGAGCCTGGAGCTCCTGCCCTGCTCTGGATTGCCCCCGCTATCTTGAAATACATCTGGGGATGCTAAGAGCACCAGTGCATTCATTGTCAGTTAAGAACTGACCATGGGAAGAAATGAATGTGGGGCAAGGGAAAGGCAGTTTCTATGGAGTTGAAACCCAAAAAGGTCAAGCAATTATTAAATTATTCTTCAGGAAGGTTCAAAGGCAACCAAATCCTATCAATCCAGGACTGTTAATGTAGAATGGTTGCCAACAGTTATTTGACTCCATGGAAACAGGAGAGCTGCTGATTTGAAACCAGGTCAGGAAGATGTGGGTCTCTGATGGAACCAGGAGGAGCTGGGGAGTAGAGCGTCAAGGCGAGCTGTTTTATGCCCTTGAAGCCCACCGAAGGTTGTAAATATAACAATGGAAGGTTGCAAATGTATAGAGGCACAGAGAAACAGTGGTCCTTTTGTTTCTTGCATCTATATTTTATTTCCATGTTCATTCTTTGGTAGAGTAATGAGGATTCAACATCGAGCTAGCATTTCTTGTGCACTTACTATGCCTGCCTACCTTGTCCTTTAGATTGACTATCTCATTTACTTCACAACAGTATTATGAAGGAAGGTGAATTATTTTCCTTCTTTCATAAATGAGGAATGTGATTGCAAAAGGGAGGTTAAGCTTGCTTGCTTAAGGTGATAGCTGAGATCTGAGCCCAGCCAGTTGACTCCAGGGCCTGTCTGCTCTACACCTGACTGCCCTTTTGAGACCCTAACCACTGAGGGCTGCAGGACCAGGCATCCAGGAGTGCCTGCCTTGCCCATGCATGGGCATGGAGATAACCTGAGCCCTGGCTGCTCTGGAGCCTTCATTCCTTGGCCAGCATTTCCCCAGATCCCTTTAGCCATAAGGTGGACAGAGGCCCGGAGAGGACCAAGAAGGGAGTGGAAGAGACATCGTAGGCCTGAGTCTATGCACCTTGCACCGAAGACAGCCAAGCATGGTGGCTAAGAGCACAGGTCTCAGGCAGACCTGGTTCTGACCCACTTCCTAGTTGGTCCCTTGGGCAGTTATTTTACCTTTTGGGGCCTCACTCTGCTGACTTATAAAGTGGGGATGATGCTGGTTTATATCTAAGTGTTAAAAAGTTAACGAATATAAAATCTTTACCACTGTTATGCCACTTTTTAGGCAGACAATAAATGGTATCTAAAAACAACACTCTTGTGATGAAATTCATCTTCAGCTAAATGCCTTGTGTTACCCACACCTAATTGCACAGACTCAGGAACAGTGGGTGTTAGTTATGGAGAAAAGAGGTCCTAGAATGAAGCTTCTTTCCAGTGTGTGGGCCTAGATTATTCCTCTCCTTTCCCCCTAAGAGGCCTAGGTTGGGCTCTGGCCCATTAAGTGACTTTGATTCCTCCCTGCCAGCCCTCCACACACACGCAGCCCTGTACGTACGTACGTTTAGCCAAGGAGAACTTCTTGAGCAGCTGGGGCATGGCATCTTGGGGGTGGACCTCCACAGTCAGCTGTGTCCCTGCAAAGGAATGGGAGGTGACATTCTAAGCCAGATGCTGCTAGGAAAGAGTGCAATGTCCTGTGACAGATGTTTGAACAACAAAACACAATTGGTTTTAAGCTTTCTTCTGAATATACAAATAATTCTTGTTTAAAAAAATGAAAAAACAAAATAGACAGTTTTCAGATCCAGGCAAGATGGAATAAGAACATTTTACTTTGTCTTTCCCACTGAATGTGACTATAAATGTTGGGAAGAATGCATGGGGCAACTATTTGAGGATTCTGTAAGGTAAATCAGAGAAGGCAAGCTGGGGAATAAGATTAGAATTTAAGTGAGCTTACCATTCCCCTTCCCCTGTGGTTATTACTTAGACTGGACTCAAAGGCAGTCCCAAACCCAGAAGTGCACAAACGGTACAGAGAAATAGTGTTCCAAGAGAAGTCCTTTCTGTGGAGTAAGAAAGGAAACCTCTAAGAGTCAGAGGGTGTGGGGGAAATCCCCTGTTGTACCCCGTCTTTTTTCTGTTATCTCCCCACTCAGCCTCTAGGAAAGTGTTGGTAGCAGTGTAGCAGTGATTTTGTTGATCAGCCAAAACCTTAAGCACCTGAGTCTTTGAGGGAGGGCACCAGAGAAGCTATGATTCCCTAGAGTGTGGGGGCAAATACTCATTGTTTTTTTTTTTTTTTCCCTCTCTCTCTCTCTGTCCCGCACTGATTGTGTCTAGGTGCAGAGTTATGAGAAGTGCCTGGCAGAGTGGAGAAACTAAAATCCAGCTTTTGTGCTGGAGAATGGGAAGTGGACTGTGAAGGGGAGGGAGCTCAAGAAAGCAAATCCGTACAGGTATGGATGAACTCTTGTGGTCACCTCTATGTTGAGCATACATGGATCTCATCCTAAGCATCATACCACAGTCTTTGTGAACTAAACTGATGGGGTAGACCAATGCCTCGACTGGTCCCCGGGAGGTGCGTGTGCAAGGCAGATCTGTATAGCATTGCAAAAGCCACAATCTGAAATCACCCAGCACAGGAAGAACCAGGAATATCTGTACTCGAAAGGAAAAGATAATCAACAGATGTTAACTCCAGGATGACAAAGATTTTGGAATTATCAGACAGACTTTCAAATAGCTATAGTAACCATGTTCTAAAAAGTGAGGACAAATAGTCTTGACATAAATGGAAAGATACCAAGAATCAGCAAAACATCAAAAGCTATAAAGATAAAACAAATAGAAATTTTAGAGCTAAAAAACGAAATAGTTTGAAAAATTATCTGGATATGCTAAATAGTAGAACGGAGATGATAGAGGAAAGAGTCAATGAATTTGAAGAAAAATCAACAGAAATTATCCAATATGAACAACAGCGAGAAAAAGTGAACAAAACTTCAGAGACCTGTGGGACGATACTTAAAGATCTAACATTCATGTTATTGAAATCCCAGAAGGAGAGGAGAAATAGTGTGGTGCAGGAGAAAAAAATGAAGAAATAATGAGAAATAATCAATGAAACCAGAAGCTGGTTCTTTGGAAAGATGAGCAAAATTGATAACCAGATTGACCAAAGAGAAAGGGAGGTAAGACATGAATCAGGAAGCAAGACATCAATATCAGGAATGAAACAGGTAAGACCACTACCGATCTCATATATATTAAAAGAATAATAAGAGAATACTACAAACAACCCTATGCACATAAATTCTACAACTTAGATGAAATGGGCCAATTCCTTGAAAGTTACAAACTACCAAAACTCATCCAATGAGTAGATAACACCTCAATATCCCTGTATCTATTTTAAAAACTAATTGTAGTCAAAATCTTCCAAAAGCAAACAAATGCCAGGTCCAGATGACTTCATCGATAAATCCTAAGACATATTTAAAAAGAAATAAGACCATTTTTAAAATAAGATCTTTCAGAAAACAGAAGTGTAGCAAATATTTCATTACCCATTTCATGAAGCCATCATTAATCTGATACCCAAATCAGACAAAGACAGCAGAAGAAAGGAACACTACAGACTGATATTTCTTTTCTTTTTCTTTTGTTTTCAGGCCGATATTTCCTATGAACACAAAAATTCTCAAAAAATGTTAGAAAATTAAATCCAGCAATATAGTAAAGGACTAATATACCATGATCAAGTGTGGCTTATTTAGGCAATTTAAGGCTGGTTCAATATTTGAAAACCAATGAATGTAATTCACCTAATAATATTAGCAGGCCGAAGAAGAAAAAAACACATGATCATATCAATTGATACAGAGAATGATTTGACAAAATTTAACATCTACTCATGATAAAACCTCTCAATAAACTAGGAATAGGAGGGAGCTTCCTTAATCTGAAAAAGGGTATTTATCAAAAATCTATAGCTACGAGCATATTTAATAGTCAAAAATGGAATGCTTTCCCCCTAAGATTGGGAACAGGCATGGATGTCCATACTCACTGCTCCTAATAAACATTGCACTGTAATTTCAACCCAGTAAAATGAAACAAGAAAAATAAATAAAAGTCCTATAGATTGGAAAGGAAAAAAATAAAACTCTCCTCTTTCACATATGACACATCTCTCTACATAGAAACTATCAAGTAATTTAGAAAGAAAGTTCCTAGAACTAATAAGAAAGTTTAGCATGGTCACAGGATACAAGGTCAGCACCCAAAAATCAATTATATTTATATTCATAACAAATGATTGGAAATTGAATTTAAAAATTACTATTTACCACAGCTCCAAAAAATTGAAATACCTAAGTATAAATCTAAAAAAAAGTTCAGGAGCTATATGTTGAAGACTACAAAATATGATTAAACAAATTAAAGAAGACTTAAATAAGTGGGAAGACATACCATGTTCATGAATTGAAAACTCAATATTTTTAAATTGGCAATGCTCCCTAAATGGATCTATGTAGATTTAATGCAACTGCATTCAAACTCCTTGGAGAATTTTATATATTTTAGATTTAGGCAAGATGATTCTAAAATATAGATGGAAAGATACAGCAACTCGAGGGTTTTTTTGAAAAAAAAAAAAAAGTTGAGGACTCCAGCCAGCTGATTTTAAGATGTGTTATAAAGCTACAGTCATCAGTGTGATACTGGCACAGGGATAGATACCTAGATAAATGGAGCACTGTTAAGAAATGGAGCCATACATATATGGCAAGTTGATTTTTTACAGAAGTGCAAAGACATTCCAATTAGAAAATGGGTAAAAGAACAGATATTCACCAAAAAAAAGATTACAGTTGGCAAATAAGCACAAGAAACTATGTTCAACATGAATAGCCATTACGAAAATGCAAATTAAAACCACAATGAGGTATCATACCTATCAGAAAAGCGGTAATAAAAAATAGCGATAATACTATATATTGATAAAGTTGTGGAGAAATCAGATCTCTCACACATTGCTGGTGGGACTGTAAACTAGTACAGCAACTCTGGACAATAGTTCGGCAGTTTCGTGTAAAACAAAACATACACCAAACATATATGACCCAACAACTGTACTCTTGAACGTTTATCCCAGAAGATCCCATATTCTGTTCCACGTGGTCTCAGAACTTACGTTCACATGAAAACCTATACAGAAATGTTTATAGAAACTCCATTCACAATGACCCCAAACTGGAAACAACCTAAATATCCTTCAATGGGTGAATGGACAAACACCCTGTGGTACATCCATATAAAGGAATACTTCTCAACAATACAAAGAAACTCTTAGGAGAGGTAAAAGGATATAACTACAGAGATTCTGCACAAGGGTATTTTGGGGTGACAGAACTGCCCTGTATTCTGAATGTAGGGGTGGTACATGAGCATGCGTTATGCATGCATTAAAACCCACAGAACTGTATACCAGATAATTCCGTTTTAGTAATTTAAAATAAAAACAAATAAAAATAAGTACCAACTGAGCAAAAAACCCTGAGCAAAATTAAAACAAGAACTTGGATGATACAGAAAGATATAAAATAGAAAGTGAAAGTCCAAAGCAGGATTATAGTAAACATATTCTTTGTAACCTGCTTTCTCTTCTTGACTCTTCACGTGTCAGTGAACATAATCCCATGTCATCATATTAAGTGGGCTGCATAGTACTCTATTCTATATATGGTTTATAATCCATATAAACAATCCCTTTTGGTAGCATAGTTAGCTTTTCCCAAATGTTTTGTTATTATAATCAGTGATGTATGAACATTCTGATACACATCTCTTTATGCACTTTTCAAATCAGTTCCTTTAAATAAATTCTTAAATATGGATCAAAAGTTATGGAAATTTTTAAGGCTTTTGTTATATATTAGCAAACTTCCCACGAATGATTTTATCTGTTGATGACCACACCAACAGCACAAGAGGGTGTCCATTTTGCTCATTCTTGCTGTGTTTGATTGCAAAATTGGTAACAAAACTTTGTACTTCTGAGAGGCCTTTTGTTCTGTCCCTTGAATGTGAGCTGTCCTTACGACGTGGTTTGGCTGGTTAGCATGTGATGTTAATAGAAGTGATGCTAGGCAAGCTCTGAGCCTAGGTCTCAAGAAACTTTGCAGCTTCCATTCCCATTCTTGGGATTCCAGCCACAAATACCATGTGAATGAGCCCAGACTAGCCTGCTGGAGGAGGAGAGACCATGTGGAACAGAATAGAGGCATCTCAGGTGAGGGCACCCTACCCTACCTGGTCTCTAGCCAACTTACCAGCTGACCACAAATACACGAACAAGGCCAGCCAAGACCTGCGATGAACTGGGTGTGTTTTGGGCAAGAACGCCTGGCCAACCTGTGCCCTTGTGAGCTGGTAAATGCTTATTGTTTTAAGCCACTGAGTTTTGGGGTGGTTTGTAATACAAAACTAGATCATTGATATATTCACCAACATTTGATTTTTATTAATCTCTGAAATTTTTAGTAATGAATAATGACATCTCATTTTTGTGTATTTAATTTTTAATAGATATTTATTTGCCATTTAAAATTCTTATTTTGTGAAT